TAATGAAAATTTTGCATAAATTATGCAGGTTTTTTGCATTGCGAAAAAACACAACTGCATGAATGTACATGCATGTTTCTCGTATTGTGGTGAGGGGGGGGAAGAAATAAATAAAAAAGACTGTAGATTTTCAATAACGTAATCTTCCACCCGAACATGGGTACCTGGGCGTCCGAATTTCAAATTTCTTTTATTATCTATTTCATATTTACGTAAATGTATTTATTCACTGTAAAAACTTTAATAAATTTTTGGTTAACAAACTGATTGATTTTAAAACATTTTTTTATCTCTAGCACGCTAGACTAGACTGTGCATCGGAAATTCTAAAAAATGCTCTTTTTAAATTATTTAAACGCCATTTCGGGCGCAATGGGATTTCTTTTCTTTCTCCCCCTCCCCTTAAATTTATTTTGCAACTCAAAGCTATTGCAATGAATTTTTTATTGATTGCATGTTTTTTTTATAAATTTTCCTCCCTAAGAATCAAAATAAGCATTTGATAGCTCTTGGAGTTAGTTATTCTTCGCTCTGAGTAGCTCATTATAAACACTAGTTCAAAATTGCATTATGTAAGTCTTACTCAGGTTTCAGTGTTTCATCCTTCAGTGCCCCCTCCCGTTCAAACAGCGTGCGTTACCGATGGGAATCCAGTCAGAAAGTCTCCCGACGGGGGATAGGGGTGGAGTTTGGGAGCATCTGTTCTAACTATAGCCAATGATACTAGATGAGGGGCAGAGAAGCAGAACCTCACATTAAAATAAATTACTTGTTTTTCTTCTGTTATCATACATCATTTGAGAAGAATAAACATTGATTTTCGGATTAAGAAGAATAAGATCTTGAACATAATTTACCTTTACTCAGTTATCCAAATAACTGAGGCATGTCTGAATACATGTAATGTATGTAATATGCTGTGTTCAAACAAGTTACATATTTCCCCCTCATTTATTACATTTACACTGCCTATAATATTACTTGTCTTTGTTTTAGTAATATCATAGGTTCCTTTTATAGTTAGCTGATGATATAATTATGTAATTAAGCTTCTAATATAAAATGTCCTTAGTCTCATATTTATTTAAAACCTTTATATATAATTTATGGGAGAAGAAAACATTGGACGCAGCAAAGTATTATTTTGCATTAGATTTCGTTACTAAAATACCTTCTTTTTAATCGATGGAAAACACTTTATATGTGCATAGCTTCCTAGCCTTGACTGTGTGTTATTTTTTCTCCCAGCATTTTTGGAATTCAAAACATGTGGCAATAGTTTTGCACATTTTATTACAAAACAATAGTTTTATGTATGCATTTTCTTAATCTAAAGCGGTCGATCCTCTGCATTGAATGATGTTATGCAAATTTTGCTTAAAATCACAAACAAATCATGCGGCTTCTTAATAATGTGTTTAGCAGTTAAAAAAAAAAAAAAAAAAAAAGTCTAATTATTCCTAATGAAATTTTACTGTTCTAACAGGCACGGCTTAAATCCACTTGGACAGCGGGCGAGCCGTAAAGTCGCTGAACACTGGTAGTTCGTTCGAGGGTTCGAATCCCGGAGAACAGGCTGCGTGTACCAGCGTTTTTGTAGTTTTTCCCATGTGTAACGTGTATAAGATTCAGCCTCCCTTACAAAGGCTTCAACGAACGCATCCCTCGTCTTAGGCAGATAGCCCTGGTTTTGTCGTAATTAAGTAAACCAAACCAAAGCGAAGGGTTAAATAACATGTACTCAGGTATTTTATTGTGTTGCTAATTCTCAGCATTACCAGAAAATTTATCGCTATTGTTAATTTAATTTAAATTACTTATCTTTTATATACTTCTTTACATATGATTTAATTGATTCATTATTCCTTATTTTATTAATTAATATTTGTGAACAAGGCAAATGCGCAGAAATTTTACAGCGATTTTGTTAATAGGGATTAATAATAATATTTTTAAGGCAGTTAGGACCTTATGGTCCTCTCGCATATATTCTCATTTTTTTTATAAGAGGAGAACAGGATTATGAGGAATAAAGTGCTCATATTGAGGCCCGAGGTTCAGGTCTTGTGACTTGATCAACAGAGCATAATAATAGACGGGAATTTAAGAATTACAAAAGCACAAGAAAACTTTTCCAAAGAAAGTAGAAACAGAATTTCTTTCAAAAGATAAATGAATTTGTAGATATCATGTAGCATCTAAATCTCAATTAACAACTTATGGACTGTCAAGATTGAATCTTTAAAGAAAGAAGCATCCAAGTTTTCCACATGGTTAAATGATACTGAGCTGAGCTGCTGCAAGGAAAAATGTGAAGCGAAAAAAGAACACCCGAATTATTTTCGATAATTTATTAAAAGGGGAATAAGTAAATTCTGCTTATGCAATTAAAATTTGCAACGATGTTTTGTTTGGATTTTTTTAATTTCACCATATTTAATTTAACAATAACATTTTAGAGATTGATTAACCGTGTTTGTTGAGCAATTTCGATGATCCGTTTTATCTATCATAGAGTTCAAACATAGTTTCTGAAAAGTTAAAATTTTTCAAATTTTGATTAACCTATATGTAAATAAATTTCCCCAAGGAAAAAAAAAAAAAAAATATATATATATATATATATATATATATATATATATATATATATATATATATTTATTTAAATATATATATATATATATATATATAATATATATTTTTTTTTGGGGGGGGGGAAATTTATTTACTATAGGTTTTAATCAAAATTTGAAAAATTTTAACTTTTCAGAAACTATATAATATATATACATATATATATTATATATAATAATATATATATGTATATTAAATATATATATATATATACTGTCCTTAAGAAAATTTGTCTGTGCTGTTTTAACGGTGTCCGCCGATAACATCGCGGAGAAAACAACACAAGGCGAAAACGTCGTGCTACAAAACATCGTCGGAGAAAACATCGCAGTTCTAAAACATCGTGGTATAAAACATCATCGTCGAAAATAAAGCGGTTCAAAAACTTCGCAGTTTAAAAACATCGTCGTCGAAAATATCGTGGTAAAAAAAAAACGTATCTACAAATCATCGCATGACGATAACATCGCAGACATGCTTTTTTAAGGTTTTAATAATTATAAATGGATATTCCCATAATGATTTGTGAGCCCAAGATGTAAAGAAGGATAATTTTTACTTTCACATATTTTATTAACTAAAAAATTTTTGCTTAAAAAGTAAGGAAGGAAACTTAAGCACAGAAAATTAATGTAACTTATAGATTATACTTTTCATGAAATATTACCAGTAAAAACTTTATAAAAATGATTTATTAATGGCCTTTGTTAGTTAACTATGTCGATTTAAAATTCTATTAAGTGCTATAAGTTGCATTAATTTACGTTTTCGTCCGCGATGTTTTCGGCTGGAACAGTTTTAACGACGTGAATTGAATTTATTTAATTTACAGGTGCAAAAAATGGATAGCCAGAAAATTTATATATTACCCTTGATTAATGAAAGATAAACTACAAATGCGCAGGAAACAATATACTAAATTCAAAATTGCAGTAAAAAATATTTTATCGTAAAAACTATACCCTAAAATTTCATTATATTTATTTTCATTGAGGCAATGTCCCATTCGAAGGCTGGAACTTTCGGCTATATGTAACAAAATTTATTTAAATTTTGCTTCAATGATAACGCTGAGACTGATGCCAAAGATAACACTGACGAACAGTGCCTCAATGATATTATCTCATCGAGGAAATGGTATCCTCTTTCCTTATCATCATTGCCCCAGTTTAATCGCAGTAAATGAATCTTTAACCTTTAATTTTATCTTAGTAAATGAATCTTTATAAAGTAATTCGCTTCTAAACACGCAATTAACGTACGTTATAAATCTCTATGCAACGAGATATCTGTGAGAAGGGGCTTATTTTTCGTACAGTTGATTTCAAGCGGAAAGATGATCAGATACTCTCGTAATACGTGCATGGAATAAGTATCCTTGATGATTTATAGTAAAGAGGGTATACTTGTCCTCATTAGAAGTGCAAATTAATAACAACTCTCTTTAAGATCGAATCACATATCTGATATATTATTGTTCTATCTAATTTATTAATGTTCGAAGCTAAGACAATAAAAGCTTGCGTACTCTATTGCAAACTTTTGCAAAGCCTATTTATACTGATGTGCGATTATGTAATAAATGTAAATGAAATTGATAGAACTATCAACGTACATAATGTAAACAGAATAACCATAATTTCTTTTTTATCCTAAGTGTTTCTCGGGAAGTGCACTAGCAAAAGATATGATAAAATTTATGAAAAGGTATTGAATATTATAGCTGTTTGAACTATCGCTGAAATATATATACGTTCCGACGCCCCCCCCACACACACAATTTGCGTACGAGCATAATACGAATAAAAAATTAATTAATGCAAGGCCAGTTATTAATGATAGCCATAAGAAATTAAATTTCATCTTCGGCTGAAACTTTACGCTTAGAACTTGATACACATTAAATATGTAATAATTAAAGGAAACTAAAATAATTTAAAAAATAATAGTAATATTCTTTTTGATACGGGAACAGTCTATGCAACTAAACACATTTCATTGAAAACTCCCCAGCTTACTGCAAAATTATTTTTCGATCTATGTTTGCTAATTGTCAAACTCAGAATTTTTACTCAGAATTTAATTTTAACGCATGTCTTTATAAATCTTAAAAGAAAAAATAAATCCAATTCCGTACTTTGAAATAAACAGGAATCTCTGTTGTTTAGCTTTACTTCGAAGTGTGGTATTTAAGATAATTAATTATCTTTTTTAGAACATCTTCAGTAAATCTAGCTACTGCACGAAGTCATATTAAATGCAATCATATAAATTCTTTCAAAATCCAGAGAAATTTTTAAAGGATACTGATTTAAAATGTAAATAACTTTTTTTTTCTTCTATTATATTTTTTCTTTTTCTTTTAGGATTGTACACTTGGAAAGACTAGGATGGAAAGTTTCATTACCAAGAAAACGATGAAACTTGTTCGATTTTATTTTCAAAATTGACGCTGCGAGAACACCGCAGCTTCTTTAATGTTTGGAATACTATCTCCAACAGCCTGCCTATTATTCCTATATTTCTAGCGATAGCGATAAACAATGGTTCCTCCGAAGGAAATTTTTGACAATGGCAAGTTTCCTACCTTTCGAATTTGAACTCGTCATAAGAAATCCCGAACTCAAGGGCGAAGACTCCCCACCCCTCCTTCTGGGACTATAAAGAAAGGGTTAAGAAAATAAAGCACGAGCCCTAGAACATTTTAACATTACAACCCAAAATTTTAATAACAGTTATGGAGAATTTCCTGGAAACAAAACGTCAAGGCCGAGACTAGCAATGATCCACATTTGGCCGATATTATTTTTAAACCGTAATGTAAATGTATTTCTATAAGTTGCATTTAACGGCAACAAATAAATAATGTTGAAGGGAAAATGTGTATTCATTTTTAAAACTAAAACGTTATCTATGTGGTACCCTATAAGCCCTATTGTTGTCATATTATATGTGAGCACTATTTCTCAGGTAAAAAATGCCTTAAAAATTCAGAGTAAACTTACATGTAAGACCTTTATGCCAAATAATTTGGCCAATAAGTTCAATAATTTGAGTCAATACATTTTTACATTCAGACCAATATATGTATTTTAATTATACAGTAACAACCACCTTGTTACCATGGTAATAGGAAAGCTGGCTACCATAGTCTTGAACCCAGATTCGAATTTTGAAGAAAGAAGTGTGTTTGTACCTTTGTTTTAAACTCAAAGGGCGTATCCCAAAAGGGTAATTAATTTCGTTTTGGCAATTTCTGCTGATTCACAACAAATGGCGTTTCACTTTTCAAATTGTTGTCAGCAAATATTAGAGCCCTTCATCATATTTAAAGGGATTAACTAATGAAGAATCTGCATGAATGTACATATGTTTCGAGCACTGTGAAAAAACAATGACACCCAGAGACATCAAAGTTGGAATAAATGCAAATATTCGAGTCCTCAACTCGAATATGGGCATCTGGACACCCAGATTTGGAATCTGGATGACAAATTTTGATTAAGAAACTCAACGATTTCAAAGCGAGCAATGGAAGCCCTATTAAAAAAAATTATCTCCAGCGCTTGAGACTGTATCGGAAATTCTAAAGATATGCTCTTTTTAAATTATTTTGTGATATTACTGTTGAATTTTATGGTTTAAGTGCGCTAATTTTTATGGTTAAGTGCTGTTGAATTGAATTTTATGGTCAAGCATGATATTTAATAAATAAAGGTAACACACACAACGTTGAAAAGACGCACGTTTGGACATAATATATAATCTGAAAGCTTTCAAATTTTTTGTTTCCAATTTTTTCCTCCCGGCATGAGGGAATGTAAAATACTATTGAGCAGGAGGTCTTGTAGAGAGGCTGCTGGCATCAGAAGAGATTGGACGACTCTCGGATCTGTCCCCCAAGTGATTTTCTATCAAAATAGGACGGAATTTTCTTCAGCATGTAATTCGGTCGTACCTTCTAGTGTACCTGCATTCATTTGCAATAGCAAGTATAAAGTTTGTTGTTGTTCTCTCTGGTGTACCCTGGACAGCATTTCCGATGATCGCCTAAGGTTGCTATCACACATTCATTTGTTTCGGAAGAACAACCGTTTGGAAAAATTCTTCTGCTTTGACACCACAGCCAATCACCATAGATCACTTTGGGGTTAATATGTAAAGAAGAAACTGGCTCTCTATTACAAACAAGTTCATAGCATTCAAAGCTGTTAGCTGATTGGTTTAAAACGAACAACTTGTATTTCCCCCCCTCCCCAGAAGGAGGGAAAAAAAACACGCGCTTCTTTCTTTTAATAGTAAATCAGGCAGAAATATTGTCCGACACAGTTGTTCGTATGTAATAAATGCATGTGTTATATTGGCCTAAAGGACCTGGGTTTTGGTTTTTACGAGGAATGCTTAACTAGCACAGTATCTGACCTTTGGAGAGGGATTACCTAGAAACTTAAAATAACTTTAAAAAATTACAGTGAATATAAAATTTAATATTTTAATTGCATAATTCCAGGTTTATCTATAATTTCAACAAACATTTGTGAATGTACGATTTTTATCATTTTATTCGCATAACTCTTAAACTGCGTCGTACTAAATAAAGGTACATAGTAAAGCGTAGTATGCATCATAGATGAATAATAAATGAGTGCACAGGATGACAGACGGAAAATATTATTCTACATTAAATTGAAATACTACTTTGCAGCTCTTGGAAGAAACATTTACATTCCGAATAGCAACGGAAATTTTTTATCTCCAGAGTTTTGATATTCGTATCTTTGTCTCATATAAAGTTGACACTGGCAGATCTGTCTCCTATTTCAGAATTAATTTACTAGCTTGTTCACTACCGGCCACGAAAAGGTCTAAAAAAATTAAGATAAAATAAAATAAAATGACTAAAAAAAGATTTAATAGATTGAAAAGAATGTCTCGTGCACCGTTCCACTTGGGTGGTACGAAATCGTGTTCCATAGAAAAAGGAACGCCACAAAAAATAAAAGAAACAGGCAAGATGACGCACTTCAGAATTATCTAGTCCTGGTGGAGAAAGAAAAGAACCGAGCTTCCAATTTGCTGATTGCGAAATGTCAGACGTCCTCTCTAAGTATAAATCCTGCTGATAAGGCAAGGCAGAAAAGTTTTAAGCAGTCGCAAAAATGCACTGAGACAAACTGGATGTCACAGTTCGAGAACTACTTTCGAAGATAACGCTCATTTATTTCTAGGTAAAGATAAATTTAGGGCCGATCTTGTTTAACCGAATTCCACAACTGCTGAATATCTATCGTTATTTTAATATATATTGTTTCAATTATTTAGTTTTCGACTTGACCTGTTGATATTTTCTGAAGGCAGTTTTTTTTAGACTGAACTAAAATATTTTAAGTCTCTGATAATTAAAAGAAAGAGAAATATGCTAATGTAAAATTTTAAAGAGAAGAAAGACCTGTGTTGGATCACCTCGAAATCAATAGAGCTTTATTCAAAACCTACACAAAAATAAGGTTGCTCTTTTGCCTAATTTTAAATCGCTAATGATGTATTAAAATAGTACAATTTATTTAAAGATGTTTCGCAAGGAAAAAGTAGGATTTTATGTTTATGGAAACTTCATATATATACTTTTGTAGTAAAAAATATATCAGGAATATGATTCCATAAAACACAAGATTCAAAGCAAGCCCATCTGACTGCAAAGCATTTATACCTTTTTTTTTTAAACAATTCTCCAAAGATTTCATTTTCTATAAACTCTTTATGGGTCAAAGATAACGATTTCGAGTAATACATTTTCTTTTATTGTAACAAGAGATTAAAAACAGTAACCAGGAAAAGGCCGTCTGAGGCATGGAAATCATGAAAAGGTCACACCATCAGATCAAGTGAATACGGAGCGTGAGGTCTCGTATTTTTTTTAACTTTGTCCACAAATTTATGACCAACAACAGCATTCTGAGCAGATGAATTATTGTGCTGAAAAATGCGAGAAAACTTTGACATGGTCTTCCGTGGTTCATCGTTGTAGCCTTCTGTCTTTCCTCAAACAATTTATACTGTATCTTATTTTTAGTACTGTTCACAAAAGCTTTTAGTAACACTTCGAGTGTTTTTCTAGGTGAAATTCCTCTACTAAGACGAAATTTAATACATTCATTACATACAGAAATAGCCAAAACAAAATTTTACTCATTACGAATTTATCTGTAAGTGATAAAAACAAATGGAATATGAATTTATTGCCAATGTTGGCGAAAGTTTGTTATAATTTCTGAAAAGTTTTGAAAGCGATTTCTTGCATGTACGTATCTTAAATATTTATTCGCGATACTTATTGGTCACAATAGCATATCAACTTAGAATGTTGAAGATACTGTGGCAGAAAGGTTGATCTTAAGGCTTTTGAGCTAAAACTATGTATATATGGTTTCTTCTAATATAAAAGTGAAGGGAAAATGATAAATTTTCTTAACATATAATTTTATAATGTTAGTCTGTTCATATAGTGCAAGTGCATTTTTTAGAAAATTATTTTAATGACAAATCGTTCCTTTACATTCGAGACATTAAAAAAAAAAAAAAAAAAAAAAAAATATTCTAATTTGGATTAAACTCTTGATCGTTCTCAGTACCGACTGAAAATACAGTGACTCGTCCTTCCACAGACAACTGTTTCTGAAAGTGACCAACCTTTCTGAGAATGGCAAATAAATATCAATATTGAACATAACTTGTCTAAGATTAACGCTTTCCCCAGAGATCCGAATCATCTGTATAGTTTAGAAAAAGTTCGCTGCATCTCCATCACAGCGATTCTTTAGTTTAAATTGGAATATGTTTTCTCCTTTAAACATAAGCGAATACTGGTTTAAATGACAGTCTAATTTATAAGCCTTGGTATATAATAGATACAAAAGATGTACCTCAACTTAAATTTTGTAAACCTGACTCAGATGAAAATATTCATTCAGGTACATATGAAATGGTTCAGTATTTAAATACAATCACCTTCGACATAAGTGAGGCCAATTTATGATGATTCGCTTTCACAATAGCCAAAAAATTAAGTTAAAAAAATCCCTAAATAATTTACGTTTACCACCAGTATATGTTTACAAGTTGTCTTTTTTTTTAATGTTCAACGCAGCATGACCGTTCAGATGTTCGGATATGTACAAAAATGTTTGAAGGACACAGCGTAACCTTCAAACACTGCTGCGCCTACAAATGAACTTAAAGCAAATATGAATAAAAAATTTTAATTAATTAAATTAAGTTTAATAAAAATTTAATAAATTTAATTAAATTTATAAAATTAATTAAAAATCTGAAAGCTTTCGCACTTTATATTAAGGCCACTTTATATTAACGCTTTGTGTGTCACCTTTATTTATCAAATATTTATTCTTCGCACTTAAACCACATGAAATTCAATTTAACTGTAATATTACAAAATATTTAAAAATAGCATATCTTTAGAATCTCTAATAGACAGTCTAGCGTAGATAAAAATGGTTTCTCTGTACCGTTTGCCACTACTCGCTTTGAAATCTTTAAATTCTTTAATCAAAATCCGTTAAAGTTTTACAAAATATGAAGTAGACAATGAAACAAATTCGGGGTCCTGGTGCCCTTGTTTCGGGGTCCTGGTGGAGGATTATGGTATTCAAAATGTGATTGCTCCAGGAACCGCCGTTTTTTTACAATGCGAGAAACGTGCATACATTCATGCAGGTTCTTCATTATTTAAATTTCTTTAAATATAATACAAGGCGATAATATTTGGTGGCAACAATTTCAAAAGTGATTCGCCGTTTATAGTAAAACGCCACAAAATGCCCTTTTGAAACTAATATCCCTTCTGGGCTGCCGCCCCCCTA